TATTCCACTTTGTTAATATGTAATAGTTTTTAGCCTTTCCCCCCCTTGTTGGACTTTTGAAGGAGCTACCAACTCTTCACAGTATTATAAATAGTGCTGCTGTGAGCAATCAGTGTATAATTTTGTCAGAAAGGCCTGCTTCCTTTAAGCAAGTTTCTGAAAATAGAAATATGCCAGGTCAAATGTATATTTTTTCTTAGTTTATTGCTAATGTGCACTCCTTGAGTATAATTTTTTTTCTTTTTTACAGCTCCCACCTACTTTGAGATGTATCTTCTTAATTTACTTTTGCTAATGATGACAAATTATGTAATAAGATCAATAATTTTTTTTTTCATTTTGAATCTTCCAAATTTTTGGTGGGATGGTGTTTTGCATGTGATCTGTTTTGGTCTAATTCTGCTGTTTTGCTCTACTGCAGAGAATCTGGGTACTGATCATATACTTGTCTGAATTCTTTATGTATTTGGACATGTAAGCCTTTATGAAATTGTCTCATGACTATAATGGTAGTGTCAAGAACTTACTAGATGCCAGATTTAGCATTTAGCATTTTCCATGGATGTATTACTAATGTAATATCACCATATCTTGTTGCCAAGTATTATGATCTGGGGCTCAGAGTTGAGTCAGATGGTCTTGGATTCAAATCCCAGCACTGCTGCTTCTTCCTGTGACCATCGACAAGTTACTTATCCTCTCTGAGCCTCAGTTTCCCCTTCTATGTAAGGACGATACTAATTGTCCCCAGCTCATAGTGTTGTCATGGGGACTGAGTGAGATAACAATGCCACATCAAGCACAGTGTAAGCGTTTAGTAAGTGCTAGTTGCTACTGTGATCATCCTTTATTCTTCTTGGGTTAACCTGGGTTTGTTTTTCAGTTTGACATGTTTTTTAGTATTACAGCACAGCAGTGGGTTCCCGTACAGTTCTCCATTCTGACATGGAATGTTACTGGGTCTTTCCCAGTCCTGCGAGTCGGTATTAATCTCTCCTTCTTGTGACTCCATCTCTTACAAATTTGCTTGGGGAAGATGCAGGATTGTGGTTCTTTGCACACTTGTCTATCTCTGTAGACACGGAGATTCCCCCAGGAAAGAGGCCATTCCCCCCAACACAAAGGCCATACCCCCAGGACAGGCCATCCCCCCAACACAGAGGCCATAGCTGTACCCCCAGGAGAGGCCATCCCCCTAACACAGAGGCCCTACTTGTACCCCCAGGAGAGAGGCCATCCCCCCAACACAGAGGCCTGTATCTTCTTCAGGCCTCGCCCACAGGAAGATCTCAGTAATTAGTTCTCAGTGGAAGAAGGCACTTCATTTTGAACATTGCGTTTGTTAAAGTCAATTAGCTTTCGCCATTTCGCTGGCTAACATGTACTAAACCGCTCTTCATATTTGTGTTAAGATAGGGTTGAAAGGGGCAGTGCCTATGGCTCAAAGGGGTAGGGTGCTGGCCCCATAGCCAGAGGTGGCTGGTTCAAACCCAGCCCCGGCCAAAAACTGTAAAAAATAAAAAAGATAGGGTTGAAAGGCAAAGGCTGCTCTTCTTATGTTCTTAATCTAGGCCCATTTCTTACATCCTGAGAGCACTGACATCTGGCATCATGCAGTAGGCTGTTGACATAGACAGATGTGCTGGAAATTGGGAAGCGTAATGCTTGTCCCTCAGTATTCATTAGCATCACATGTAGTGTTTGTGTGTGAGCTTCTCAGTGTCTTCCACTGTCTTGCTCTGTTACCAGGCCTGGCGCTGCTGCTAGCATAGGAGCCAAACAAAACCAGTTCCCCCGTCTGTATGACACTAGGTCCGGGGATGAGGTGGGCAGTAAAGTTGTTAGTTTAATAGGAATTGGTAACCAAGGCTTAACAGTCTGCTGCAAATTACTTCAAATTCCCAATTTAACTGATCTTCTGATCACCAAAAGCTACAATATAGTCAGCCAAGAAGCCAGCTGTGCCTGGCGGATACCAGGGACGGGCACTGGAGACAGGCACTTGGCATCTGCAGTGGTTATCCTGGGTGTCCTGGCAACTAAAAAGCAGATGGAGCTGAGGCCTGTGTGGGATTCTAACCAGGAGAGAGTTTTCAGGAAAACTGGAGAAGCCAGGCTACGTTCAAGCCTTGGGGGTGACTTTAGGACAGACAGTAGAAATTGAAATTATCCGGTGGAGGATCTAGATGTGGGGGGTCCAGGAAGGAGGGTGTTCAGAGCACAGTCTCACTGGTGCCCTCTGGGGACTGGTGGGTTGGTTTGCAGACTGAAACGATCTGTTGGACTTGGAGCAAATCTCTTAAAAACCTCAGAGAGCTTCTGACATGTATATCTCTGTGTGGTGCCATCCGGTTTCAGTCTAGCTTTGCCTCCTACCCTGTCACTTTGGTTCATTTTGTTACTTTGGTAGCACTTGATGTTTCCATTTTTATACGTCGCATTTTTACCTTTTTTTAGCTGGTGTCGGAGTACAGTTCTGACCCAGGTATCCATGATGCAGGCTAACAGTGCTGAATTCACTTGTGCAGCAGTTTGGTGTTCACCATGGTTCAGTTAAGTAACTCCAATCACATTCAGTTCATGCTGTGCAGTGCTATATAAAAAGTGTTCAAGTCAGGAAATTAATGTCTTTCATAAAAGCGTGAATATGTCCACGCTTAGTTCATTATCAAAAAATAGTGTTTTAGATTCTTCCTGTAGGAAAGGTGTACTCTGGCATAAAGGCCATCCGTGCTTTGGAGAGATGGTAGGCCTGCAGGGGAGGGGAAGGACTCAGAAATGGGTTCCCAAATTCACATCTCAGATCCGCCACTTATTAGCTCCTGATTCGGGGGTCTCAGTGTAACTTCCCTTAGCATTAGCTTCCTCGTCCATAAAATAAAGATAAACCACACTCAGGGATCTAAAAATAGACCTGCTTTTGGATTCTGCAATTCCTCTACTAGGAGTATATCCAAAAGACCAAAAATCACTATGCAAAAAAGATATTTGCATCAGGGTGGTGCCTGTGGCTCAAAGGAGTAGGGTGCCAGCCCCATATACCAGAGGTGGTGGGTTCAGACCCAGCCTTGGCCAAAAACAAACAAAAAAAAAGATATTTGCACCAGATTGTTCATTGCAGCTCAATTCATAATAGCCAAGTCATAGAAGAAGCCCAAGTGCCCCTCGACTCATGAGTGGATTCATAAATTGTGGTATATGTACACCATGGAATATTATGCAGCCTTAAAAAAAGATGGAGACTTTACCTCTTTTAAGTTTACATGGGTGGACCTGGAACATATTCTCCTAAGTAAAGTATCCCGAGAATGGAAGAAAAAGTATCCAATGTACTCAGTACTTGTGTGAAACCAATTTATATTGACTAACACTTTCTTATGAAAGATGGATCACAATTATAGCCCAGGATGAAGGAGAGAAATGGAGTGGGAAGGGAGGGGAGGGAGGAGGTTTGACAGAGGGAGGGTAAAAGGTGGGACCATGCCTATGGAGCATATTGCAAGGGTACAAGTCAAATCTATCAAATATAGAACATAAATGTCTTAACACAATAATCAAGTAAATGAGGTGAAAGCTATATTAATTAGTTTAATGTAAGCACTCTAAATTGTATTAAAAAAAACACATTGTACCCCACATATGCAAAAATGTATTCATGATGTATATGTATGTGACTTAAATAAAGATAAACCTTATAGGGACATTGTCAAGATTAATGGGATGTACATTTAAAGCTCTAAGTTCACTGCTGGCTCATGGGCAGGCTCCATCAGTGTGAGCCGTGCTGAAGGGGAGATGTTGAGAAATATGGTATTTTGAGGCCAAGGAGTTTTCAGTTACCCATTGTCAATTTGAGAAAGTGAGAAAAAGAGATCACATTCACATAACTTGGATTAGTTATAACAATTATTACATAATTGCTCTATTTTATTAGTTATTGGTGTCTCTTACTGTGCCAAATTACAATTAAACTTTTTCATAGATTATGAAAAACACAGTCAGCATGGAGTCTGGTCCGATCGCGGTTTCAGGCACCTTCTGGGGTCTCTGAGGGAGGAGGGGACTGCAGGACCTGGGAGTCTGTAGACTGTCCAGTTAGCGGCTGGGAAGGCTGCCAGACAGCTGAGGTTTTCATTTCAGTGGCGTCTTCCCCAGGGGGCGTATGTTTTGTGTCCTGGGTTTGGTTTATTTTCCTTTTCTAGGTGTAAGAAGGACAGTTTCGGCCACAATGAGTGCCCTCCACAGTCGGAAGCTGTTTTGGGGGTACCATGTGAGGAAGGGCAGGGTGTCCTGGGCGAGTGGATGACGGGAGGGAACTGAACGTGGGATCATTACTGATCTTAGGGACTTAATGACCCAGGTGGAGAGGATGAGGATGACATCCAGGCGTGCAGAGTGGCAGATTTCCTCTCGGGTCACGGTAATCCATTAGGTGAATTACCTGTTTTTACTAGACCCCGTTAGTCACTAGATAGTGTCGTGTCGGTGATTCCAACTCTGCACGCTTACCTGTCTGGGGAGCCCTGCTGCCAGGAAAGGGGTTGCTTGCCTTGGTAATGAGCCTTTTGTCTGCTGCGTTTCCAGATCATTTATGCAGGGCTTTGTTGCAAGGCTCTGGTGGCCTGCCAGATCCCATCTGCCCCAATCCTAATTATGGACACCTCCCTGGCAGTCATTACTCCATGGGGCTGTGGGGATCCTGATTCAATTGAGAGCATAAGGAGAAAGATCTCCAGAGTCAGTCTATGAAAGGGAAGGTGAGCAGAGCGCCGTGGGGGATGCCTTCGTGCAGGTCATTACAACGTTCTCCTCTGGCACAGATGCGGCGTGGAGCAGAGGCTGCACGTTTGTCCTCTGAGTCCAGCGTCAGCAGACCCTTCACTTCCTCACCCCTGCCCTGCTCCCTCCCTCCTTGACCCTCAAGCTCTGCATTTGGCTGCAGAGTGACCCCGTTTTCATAGCACGTTGCCTTAATGCTCCTCTGTCTCTGTTTCCTGCAGGGGAGTTGCTGAGTCAGCCCAGACCGGAGGGAGTGGCAGAGATCATTTGCCCCAAGAACGGCAGCGAGCGAGTGAACGTTGCCTTGGTTTACCCGCCTACGCCAACTGTGATCAGCCCCTGTTCCAAGTGAGTTCTGGAAGCCCCACGGCCTGTGCCCGTTGCTCCTGATCCTGGCTCCGCAGCTATGAAGACAAAAAGCCAAGTTAAACTGCATCTGCGCAAACCCTGTATGGACCCCAGCGCAGCCATGAGTCTTCTGGGGGACACCAGCACCCCAGCTTACGTAGCAGCACAGGAACTTATGTTTCCTCTTTTTTGTGTGACTTTTTACTGTTACTGATAAAGTCAGGATACTTTTTAACAGCTTTTTTGAGATACCATTTCTATACCACACCCTTCACTCATTTAAAGTGTACAGTCATTGTTTTTTCGTATATTTGTAGGCGTGTCCCACCAAAAAGAGCAGTTTTTGATGGGGAGTCTTACCTCTGTCATGAGGGACCCCCACTTCACAGAGCAGTGAGGGCTCACGAAATAAGAAAGACCTACAGAGAATCAGAAATAGATTATTTTTTGATTCAGTGCTCTGATTCTCCAGTCAGTGCCTAAGAGTCAAGGGCTGTGCAGTTTTTACCACCTTCTCCCCAAGTGGACTTAAAGATACAGAAGGCCCACGTGCA